TCAGCTGTAATCGCCAGACTACTGACGTTTTCAACACAACAGCCCCTTATGATGATTTTTCGGTTTTAACAACAACAAAAAAACACCAATTTGAAGAATGGTAAAAATCTTTTCATCGTTTTCTTCGAGGTGAAATCACTTTTACGGTTAAGATGAAATTGTGCTACTTGTGGTCCATCATTATGCAGATACCTGCATGCGGATAGCTCTACAGGTTACATTCAACTATTTTTCATCGAGGACACTGTAATATTCTCTCTTTTACCCTTTTATTTTGATTATTTCTATTGAATAGATGATAATACGAGCGATTTCCCGTAATGAAGAAGCGGCCGATCAAAGAGCAACGCTATGAGCCAGTTAAATAGGAAAAGGTAATGGGTGGTGACGGGATTTCAATCTCCCATGGCGATAATTTGGTGGCCCTAAACACTTGACAACCTCTATCAATCAGGCGAATTCGTTCCACCAGCCAGCATTTCCCCTCTGTTTAATCCAGCCAATCGATCACATCACGCTTTCCGAAAACACTTGTCCTCTTTTTCTCTATGTGATGTGTAGAACATCCAATAGGTGAGAATATTTGTACAAGTCATTCTCCTGAAGAGAATGTAACTGATTTACAGTAATCAGTGGAATATAACACTCGATGAACTCTTTTTTCCATTCTCACTAGAGGACGAGATCAAATAAATTTCCGTCCAATAGTATTTTTGTCTTTACGCTGGGAATAGTATGTTGTCCCGCTTTGTATCGAGCGTCTTGAGCAAATGTGTTCAGTTTACCAGGTGATTTATTACTTTTAGTCACCATTTCATATCCGAAACAACGATAGATAGCGAGTCGAGTTTGTAACAGATCTTGAAAAAGGATTCTCTAAACCTTGACTAGTTTAATTCAGGTACAACGGGTAGTGAGGATTAGTTAGTTGACGTAAAAATAGCATAATTACTGTTTTAGAGCTCATGGAGACCCACTTCCGTGACCAATCGACAAACCATTTCTATTAGTTTAAGCATTAAGCTGAACGATGACAAAAAGATTTTATTTGGTAATCAGGGAAAAATAGATTAGCCGATGAAACTTATTATAACAAATAATGATTTTCAAAAGAAACCACTGAGCAATCTGTCACATCCTTTCCCACATGCGAAGGACTACTGCGGTCCAGCGGTTCCAATGATTCTATCATTTAAAGGTTCTAATTTAAGTTCATTCAGTCTGTGTTAAATCTTTTCTATATTATGCGGTTCCGTCATTAAGGACACAGAAACCGGCATATTTAAAGTGCACGGAAAACGTTTACCCATTAAACGAACGAAAGCACAGTAAGAGTAGACAACAGTAACACGAACAGTATATAAATAAGTTATCCGATAAAACTTTTACCATTGTAACTCATTGAACAAGCCCTTAAGTTCCCCAAACTCACGTTACCCCACTCATCAGCATGGAAAACATGAATGCGTAATCCTGATCCTTCTCCCGGGTTGGGTATTGTGTTTGATGCTTTGTCCTGATCACATTTTTTCCAATTTATCATCAACCACTCAGCTGATATTACCAGTCTATTATTATGAGTGGTGCAAGTGTTCCAGTATGACACTACCACCAGTTGACTGAACTATATCGTCATCAGCAGCATTGTACAGCGTAGAACAGTGAAGCAAACTTCACTGACCGCTGCGAAACTCATAGTGCATACAAGGTAAGTGAGAATGTCTAAGGAGCATAGGGATCGAACTTCATTTTAGGGACGGGAAAAGGAAGCGAACCTCTGTGATCAACACAGAGTACACAGTTCAGATGTGCATACACACTGAACTACGTAGGAGGAGACACTTTTTCAATGGTAAGGGCATCAAGGTGTCCAACGCAGCTGTAAAGAATGTCGGCTTGCTTAAGCGGGTCTTCGGCCGGTTTGAGTCAGCTTTATTCCCCGCCTACTATCAGCCTACATTCGACCACTCACAGAATACGCTATCCAGGCCTGGAATCCATGGCTACAGTGTGATTGCAAGATGCTGGAGCGTCCACAAAGGATGGCCACAAAAATGGTAAGGGGGTTGAATCGGTTTTCA